GGGTGGGCATGGCTGCGGTGGTAACGGCAGACTGGGTGGGACTAAAAAGTTCAATCAATCCATTCCAACTTTGCAAGATCTTTTTTTTCCCGCAAGAAGTTGAAATTAATTGATTGAACCTTTTTTTTTTTTTTTGCACACGGCGGTGGAGGCCTAAAGCAAAAAGGTTTTATAAAACCCAGCTGAAGGCCTAGGACTGGGGCGATGGTGCGCGTGCCCACAGAGAGGGCTCTGAGTGCCACCTCTGGCACCCGTGCCATAGATTCGCCAGCACTGGTATATACATATACACACAGCCCTAATGTAAAATATATTAATATAGCATTTAAAAGGCAAAGTACATAAACACCCATAATATAAAATATATTAATATAGCATTTAAAAGGCAAAGTAACACAAATTCACTGGTTACATATGCAGGTTCAGAGGAGTCACCTATCAGTGTCTACAAAAAAAAGGATTTTTACACCTGTTTTGAAAGATCCTGAAGAAAATGGTAGTTTCCATGGGGAGAACTGTCCAGACCTTGCAAGTACTGAAAAGGTTGTTATAGCAGTTAGCATTGTTGGTTATTTAAACTCACTTAATGAGACTAATCAAGCCTGCACAACAGCTGTAGTAGAAAAATCTATGATATGATAATCTCAAGCAAGGAAAAGAATAACATCACCTTAAATTAGGCTCACATGAGGAAATACCAGCAAATGCCTCAAAAATATTTTTTCGCTCACTATGTGCATTTGGGAGTTGCACATTTTATATAAGCTGAAGTTTAAAGAGGTCTTCAAAAGCAGTCAGTAAAATAGCAGCTGATCATTGAGATAAAAACTGGGGGGGGGGGGAAACCTATAGTAAAATCCTTCTGAACCAAAACATATTCAGAATCTGACAAGCTGATAAAAAAGATTGGGACAGTCATTCAAGCAGAATCAGAATATTCTCAAAGTCTTCAAAGGTGCAATTTTTTTCAAGAACAAAAGGACTTTTATATTTTTAGATTTCACTTTATCTTTTTATTGTTGTTTTTTTACAAAACATCTAACCAAACATGGTGAAATCATCTACATTCAGAGATGACTTATCTAACTTAAGAGGAATTAGAAAAGATTCTGTCTTCTCTCTTCATTAAGTAGTATTCAGCAATTTGGACAACTTTCCACCTAGTAAAACACTCAGGTTTACTGTCAATACTCAGTGCTTATAAATATCACTTTAAAACTGAGCCCATATTATAAAAAAAAAAAGCCTCTTGAAGCTGTAACATCCAATCTAATTTTTGAATTTGCTTGCTTTTTGTACATCCCCTGCCTTTTACAATGAAAAGTTTTAGAAAACATAAATGCTTACGCCTTGCTTTTTTCATTTTAGCTGATCCCAATACATTCACTGTCCAACCACGAATGTTAAATTTCATAATGATAACTGAGAAAAT